CCCCCATCAATTGAGAATGTTCCTTTGTTGACTCCTGTAGCTCTGAAGAGTGGCAGAAGGTCAGCAACAGCGAGAGAGAAAAACTGGGAATGACTGTGCAGGATGATGGGGAATTCTGGTGAGTATGGTGTGCAAATGAATTTTTACATAGCCCTGAATTTCCCACCCAATAAAACACCCAAAGTGTCTTAACAGTAATTAAACGCATTCAGTAAAATTGACTGTGTAATTTTGCACCCAGTGGAAAGGATTGGTTCCAAGCCCCGCCCTGTTGATGCTGAAAAAGGCGGGTTATCGTGAACGCTATGCGTAACATGGTCTCGGGCTCCCTCTAGTGGTCTGTTCTGATATTGACATCATAGAAATCTATTTCTCTAGTGAATGTTGCGCATAGCATGGTCTATTTCACCCTCTAGTGGACACTTCTGGTAACTTCATCTTTACAAATACATATTTCTAGGATTTTTCTTTTAATATTTTCAGTATTTTCAGACTGTGGATAAATGAATCAGTGGATATGGATCCCTTGCATAAGGGGGTTGTACTGTAATTTACAATACTTAAAAGCTTCCTGTACCCACACTTTAGGTTTTGAGGCTCTCTTAAGGCTCCGTTTTGCCCAAAGGAAGCGTTGGGGAATTTTTAAAAGTCCAAAATCACTACCAGTTGGTGGCGGTGGTCTCAGTCCTGGCATCAGTAAACCTGCTGGTGATTTTTAACTATTAAAGCCCCACCCTGCCCCCATTTTAAGGCTCCCAAAGCTTTTCCACAAAAAGTGTACGGTTGAGACCTTGTGATGGATCTTCACTTGGGTGGTAGATGTAAAGGGTGAAGGTGAAAAATCCCAAAAGGAAGGAGAGTACTGAAATGATGATGGGATGGGAGTGTGGGTCCAAGCTAGGGAACTGGCAGGAGGGAAGACCACCATGATGGATAAATAGATGAGGAGGAAAGCTTTTAAATGTGGGCTTTTGAATTGTTACTATAAACCAGGGGCTGTGGTAGCTGTGGAAAGGTACTGTAGTCTCAAAAAGTACCGTATTTGCCGGTGTACAAGACGACTTTTTGGGCCCAAAAAACATGCCTCCAAGCGGAGGGGTCGTCTTGTACGTGGGTGCACTGAATGACGCGGGGCTGCATTGGCTGGGGAGGAAGGCAGGCAGGCAGGCAGGCAGGCGGTCTGGATGGATGGAGGGAAGCACAGCCTGCCATGCCTGAGCGGCCAGAGCCCGCTCAGCCTCTTGCCCTCTTCCTCGCCCTCTCGCTGTTGAGCCAGCTACATGCTCGCTCGCCCGCCCCCGCCCGTTTCCTTTTCCTCCTTCTCCTCAGCCTCTTGCCTTCTTCCTCTCCCTCTCGCTGCTGAGCCAGCGCGCTCGCTCACCAGCCACCCGCCTGTTTCCCTTTTCCTCCTCCTCCTCTTGCTCTTCCTCGCCCTCTCGCTGCCATGCCTGAGCCGCCACCGGGCTGCCCGCTGGCCTGCG